GTAGTTCGCATACCAGAAAATCCCGCCTTACAATTCAGTGTTTTTTAGTACAGTCGTAGAGCCATGCAGCCATCCTAGCAGGCCTTTCTGAGCTGTGTTTTCTCATTGATAAGCCTTGGGTGATTATGGTACTGCTTTCGCAGGGTGGTGGTGAGAAGTAATTAAAAATAAGCATGTAGAGGGCTTGGCACAGTGTCTGGCCAATAGGAAGTCAGCAGCCAGCAGGAGCGGTTCAGGGGTCACACAGCAAACTGGGGTGAAGTTGATGTTGGCCCGAGGCCCACGTCCCCAGTGGGGCTGTCCTCACTCCCCCTGCCCTGTGGCTGTTTCTGCAGCGAATTCAGGGAGGTGGTGGGGGCAGGGTGAGGCGGGGAAGGCAATAATTGCAGTTATTTAAAAAGCTATGGGCTGGCTAATAATTGAATCAGCCACAACCACTCCGATCAGCTGAGCCAGTGATTCTCCAAGTGTGGTTCCCGGAGGAGTAGCAGGAGCATCACCAGGGAGCTTTGCAGACGTGCAGATTCTGAGGTCCCACCTCACGCTTACATTCCACAAGTGGGGCCCAGAAGTCCTGGGTCTTAGCGAGTCCTCTGGGCGATCCTGACACCAGCTGTAGTTGGAGAACCACGGATCTAAGCAAACCAGCTAGGGGCCATTGTAGAGAGCCCAAGCCAGCCAGCTCCTGGGTGCCAACTACAATTGCAGAGGCAGAGAATCGAGGCCCGAGAGGGGGCCGGACACAATCCTTAGTCCTTATTTGTTGCATGAATGAAGCCATACCCTGGTTCTGGCAGACACAGCCACACCCTGGCTTCGGGCTCCTTCTCCCTGTCTCCTCTCTGCCTAAGCTCCAGACGCGGATCTCTGGCCCAAGAGTGGGTGTCTGTGTGAGGACCCCTCGGGAGGACCAAGGTAGCCTGAGAGGTCGCACTGATTCACTGTGTGATTTGGACCAAGTGTGTCCTTCCCTGGGCCCCATTTCTTCATCTGGAAGATAATTGCTCAGGTGCCTGGGACACAAGATGTTCTCTATCAAGGACTCCTGGTTGAGCATCTGCCTTCCACTCAGTTCCACTCAGGGTGTGATCCTAGGTCTTGGGATCGAGTCCCACGTCGGGCTCCCTGCATGGAGCCTGCTTCTCCCTCTGCCTGTGTCTCGGCCTCTCTCTCTCTCTCTCTCTCTCTCTCTCTCTCTCTGTGTCTCTCGTGAATAAAGTCTGTAAAAAACAAAAACAAAACAAAACAAAAAAGATGTTCTCTATCAGATTTAACGTATCTGTTCCACTGTATTGAGCATCTGGAAACCCCCATCCAGCGTGTGAAGGCAGTGGAGGTGAAGCTCTGGGGCTTAAAAAAAATATATTTTATTCATTTACTCATGAGAGACACACAGAGAGAGAGGCAGAGACACAGGCAGAGGGAGAAGCAGAGGGAGAAGCAGGCTCCCTGCGGGGAGCCCGATGTGGGACTCAATCCCGGGACCCCAGGATCCCACCCTGGGCTGAAAGCAGACACTCAGCCGCTGAACCACCCGGGCGGCCCGCTCTGGGGCTTTTTAAACAGTGTCTACCATGTGGAGCTGGTCAAAGTCAGAGACCTGCCTTCTCGTCCCTTCTCAGGAAGGATGCTGGGGAGTCCAACAGGCCAGGGAGGGACGTTTTTGGAGCTTTTGGAGCCTTCTCAGTGGGTACCAACTGGGGGCTTTGGTGACATGGTGTTTTAATATTTGTTTCATGTGAATGTCTGCTATTCATGTACTCAGTTTATGAAAAATAAAGCAGAGCAAGGAGAGAGAGAGAGTGTGTGGGGATAGGGCCATTGTTTTGGAGAGAAGGGGTGGTTGGGGAAGGCCTCCCCAAGGAAGTGATGTTTGATGAGTAAGGGAAAAATAAATAGGCATAGGAAGCAGCAGAGCAAGTGCAAAGCCTGGAGGTGGAAATAAGTTTGGTGCTCCAGCAATGGCATGAGGTCAGGATGGTTGGCGCATAGTGATGGAGGGGATGGGGAGAGGGGGTCAAGTCTGCGAGGTGCGGTGGGGGCCAGAGCTCTCAGGGCCTTCCAGCCCACACTGAGGAGGTTAACCTTTGCTCTCCAAATGTGATGGGACGTCAGGGAGAGTTTTGAGGAGAGTGATTTCCAGCTTTGCGTTGTCAGGAAGGTCATCCTGGCTACTATGAAGAGAGTGGGTCACAGTTGGGCCAGAGTGGAGGCGGGGAGGCCAGCCGGAGGTGAGATGGTGGCGGCTTAGTCAGGGTGGTGAGCTGTGGTCTGTCCAGGGACTTATTCTGAAGGGAGAGCCAAGAGAAAATTGCTAACGGCCAGGAAGTGGAGGGTGAGCGAAAGGAAAAATCAGAGGCAACTCTTAGGTATTTGGCCCGAGCCCTTGGGTGGCAGCTGGTGCCATTAACGGAGATGGGGAATCAGGAGGGGAACAACATTTGAGGGCAAATCGAGTTTGGTTTTGAACATGTTGGGTTTGAGAGGCCACCAGACATCTGAAAAAGAGAAGCTGAGTAGACAGCTGGACATGTGAGCCGGACTCTGGGAGAGGCCGTCACACCCTGACACCTGTGAAATGGCAAAGCTCTTGTGGTAAAGGGGTGGGGGCAGGACTGAAGGCAGCTGTGTCTCTGTCTGTATATTTAAGGAAATGCAGTTTTAAATTCCTATTTGTCATTACTTCTGTTTATTTATTTTTAAAGATTGTATTTATTTATTTGAGAGAAGGTGTGTGTGAGCAGAGGGGGAGGGAGAGAATCTCCAGCAGACTCCCCGCCCAGCTCAGAGGAGACCCCATTGGGCTCGATCCCAGGACCCTTGAGATCAGGACCTGAGCCAAAACCAAGAGTCAAGTGTTCAACCAATGGGGCCACTCAGGCGCCCCCACCCCTGTTTATTCTAAAAAATACAAGGAAGTGCAGAGAAGCAACAAAGCAGAACAGAAGCCAAATCCCTCTTAATTTTGCCACCCGGAGATAAGCCCTGCTGACTCTTGGTAGGAATATAAAAAATATATATATTTTTAAAAATTGGGATCACATTGCCCTTCAGATGTGATAATATGCTTTTTTCATTTAACCCGTTGGTGATGTGTCCATTTTATAGACATGTAACTGTTGACCTGGAAGGCACAGTGTGGTGAAAGATGCTTTTCTGAAAGCCCCAGCAGGAAGCTCCTAGTGTGGCCCCCTTACCTGAGGATCCGGGGTTAGCCGAGCACTGGGGCCACCGAAGGATTGCTGTTCAGGGTTGGGGTGAAAGCCTATCAGATTCAGAGGCAGCCCTTCCTGGGGGAGGGGGCTGGATGAGCCGACCTCAGAGAGGGGCCCCGGGGCCTGTAGGAGTCCCCATCCCAGGGGGATGTGGATGCTGCATTTTCTGTGGTTAATTCTTGAACATGAGGAGCTGGGGCTCCTCCTACCTCCCCGTGCCTTCTGTTTTGCTGACTCAGCTCTTGCCTGGAACTGGCCAATGAGGCCTCCCCCTCGCTCATTCATTCAAAACCCTTTACAACATCCACCACCTACCCTCTCTCCAAGTAGCCTGGGAGCCCGGCCCAAGGACGGTGTAGGTCCTTTCCGCATCTGTCCTCCCATCAGCTCCCCTGTACAGAGGTGGAGACCGGCTCACAGAAGGGAGGTGACTGTACGAGCTGGACCAGGACCTGAACCCAAGCCTCTCTGCCCCTGGGCCCCTGAAACAGGAACACAAATGAAGCCACGTAGAGAGTGACTAGGGCCATAGATACACAGGCGAGCACCGGGCAGGGGTGGGAAGGGGAAGAGGGAAGGGGGTGAGGAGGGCCTCCCTGGGGGGCTCCCTGGAGCAGAGGGGGAGCAGAGTCTCCGCAGGCCCTGGAGGTGGGCTGTTTCCGGCAAAATGCTGCATCAGCAACCTTCCCAGGTGGGGAGACTCTGGGAGCATCTGGGGGAGGCTGTGGGTCAGTCCACAAGGGAGGTGTTTGCAGAGAAACCCGTTCCCTCCAGAGCCTCTCCCAGGGCACATGCATGTCCAGCGCATCCCCCTCCCAAAGAGGGGCGCTTCTGGGATTCCGACCGGGTCCCTTCCCCCGTAGCCTGTGCCCCTCAGCCTGGCCTGCGTTGCGTATTCACACACTGTCTGAGGCCTCCAGCCTCTCCCCTCGTGCCCTTTCCCCCTCTTCCCATCCCTTGGGAAGGGGGTAACCCTGGCTGTAATCTTGCCTCTGTCTTGGACACACTGAGTGACCTTGGGTGAGTCCCTTTCCCTGTCTGGGCCTCAGTTTCCTCATATGTGCAGCTGGGGTGGAGGGAAGGGCTGGATGAGCTGGGTTATAAAGTTCTTTCCATTTCTAAATGTCTGTTTCTGGGCTTCCCACTGCCTCAGGGGAGCCACGGACCATGAGGCCTGACTCCCCTCCCCAGACCTCGTCCCACTCTGCATACTTCCCCCCTTCCCTGGCCTCCCTAGTCTCCTTTCCTTTCATAGTTGTCTCCTTCTTTAATTCCTTGAGAGCCCACAAAGGCAGAGACAACTGTCCCCAGATGAAGCGACGTTCCTGCCACCTCGGAGTTCACTGGGAGCAGGGACCTCTCCCGGGCTGCTGACCTTCCGGGCCCCTCGGCTGACCTCGGGGGTTCTTCTCTTAAAACAGTCTTAAAACCAAGCCAAGGCCTGAAAAACCAAGCCAAGGCCTGAGGGCCCCCCTTGTGAGTGGCTGAGCCTGCAGGTGCTTCGTGACTGTTCCCACTGGCAGCTCAGACAGCCCCGCCCCCCACCGCTGGGTGACCACCCTGGGAGCCGCAGGCCGCAGTCGGAGCCTCTGAGGGGGCAGTGGGCATGTGGGGGGCTCTGCCCCTGGGGGTCCAGCACAGAACCGCAGCTCCGGGGAACCCTGATTCGGATTCTGCTTTCCAGACAGTTCTTCCCAAATAACACTTCCCTCCACCCGCACCTGGGCAGCCCCCTGGCCATCCTGTCCAGGCCACGGTCTGACCCTCTCCCCGCTGCTGTTGCAGATTTCTGCTGGTCTTCAGCTGCCTGGTGCTGTCCGTGCTGTCCACGATCCAGGAGCACCAGGAACTTGCCAACGAATGTCTCCTCATCTTGGTGAGTGCCTGAGGCCGGGCCTGAGCCAGGCTGTGGGCTCAGGGTGGAGGCGGACAGAGGCTTCTCACCCTGCGGCTCAGAGAGGGGCTTGCCGCGCTGTGCTCCCTGGGTGCATGGCTGCCCCTCTCTGGACTTCATGTCCTGCTTTAGAACGGATGTTGAGGGACCTCTTGCCGCTGAGCCAGGGCTGATGTTGGGCCCAGAGAAGAGGTGGATAAGCCTCGCTCCTTTTCGGGGCCCAAAGGGTCAACTCAACCCCTGGTTTGGCGGTTGTTTCTTTTTTTTTTTCCTCTCCAAATAGAAGCACCTTGGAAGTGGACAGCCGACAGACAGCTACCCCTTATGTCACCCAGGGTTGGTGGGTTGGCAGGGCCACTGAGTCTGGGATAGCTGGGAGGGGGAGGGCTGAGTGAAGGGCAGAAATCCCCAGACAGCTTGTGGACAGGGAGTGGAAGGCAGTCTGTGGGAGGGGCCACGTGCCTTCTGGAATCCTCCTCAGGTCCAGCCAGGTGTAGGAACATCCAGGAGAGGTGGCCCAAGGAAATCCTGGTCCTCCTAACCCAAGGACTGGGGGCTGGGCCAGTGCTGTGAGCCCCAGGCCCTTGCCCTGGAGCGGGGAGACCAGAACTCAGGCCCCTGGTCCCACAGGAATTCGTGATGATCGTGGTGTTTGGCCTGGAGTACATCATCCGCGTCTGGTCAGCGGGATGCTGCTGCCGCTACCGAGGATGGCAGGGCCGCTTCCGCTTTGCCAGAAAGCCCTTCTGTGTCATCGGTGATAAGACCCGGGCACCCGCGCCTGCCCCCTGCCCCCGAGCCCCAGGGTTGACACCCTGCCCCAGACCCCAGCTCCAGCTAGAGATTCCACCCCCCCATCCCCTTGCCACTACCCCCCCCCCCAGCCAGTGGTCCCAAGACTCCCCCACACACACCTTGGGTCCCGGCCGGCTGTGACCTCACCTTCTGTGACCCTGCAGACTTCATCGTGTTCGTGGCCTCGGTGGCTGTCATCGCCGCGGGCACGCAGGGCAACATCTTCGCCACGTCTGCACTGCGCAGCATGCGCTTCCTGCAGATCCTGCGCATGGTGCGCATGGACCGGCGCGGGGGCACCTGGAAGCTGCTGGGCTCGGTGGTCTATGCGCACAGCAAGGTGCTCCTGAGGGCTGAGGGGGCCGAGGGGGAGGCCAGGGACCCTGCGGCAGCCAGGTCACAGGGGACGGTCTCTAGGGGCCCGGGCTGGGTGTTGGTCAGGAGGTGAGGCCTGCCGGGCAGGGCTTGGAAGCTTCTGGGTTCGGTGGCTCTATGCACAGCAAAGTGGAGAGCTGGGGTGGAGTCTGTGGGGGGTGGGGCGGGATTGGATGTTGGGGGGTGTGGGGTGCTGGGGGGCAGTGGGTCTGGGGACTGAGATCAAGGCCAGGGTGGGGGCTGGGGGACGGGAAGGTGGGAAGGCGGGGGAGGGTCCCCTTGCAAGGAGGAGCGGGAAAGGAAGGCAGGGAGAGCCATCTCTGAGCAACTTGGAGCCATGGGGGACCTTTGTCCCCCCCCCAGAGCACCTCTCAAAGGTCTCTGTGGGGACCCCCCAGCTGCCCAGAGCTGACAGCTGGGCGCCGTGTTTAACCCCCTCCTTGTACCCCCCCCCCCCCGCCTCCTAATGCCCCCTGGTGCCCTCGCAGGAGCTGATCACCGCCTGGTACATCGGGTTCCTGGTGCTCATCTTTGCCTCCTTCCTGGTCTACCTGGCCGAGAAGGACGCCAACTCCGACTTCTCCTCCTACGCCGACTCGCTCTGGTGGGGGACGGTGCGTGAGGGTCCGTGCAGGGCCACCCTTCTTCCCCAGACCCTCCCCTGCGCCACCACTGGGACTCTGACTCTGGGTTGAGGGAGCCTGCACCTGTTCTCTCAGTGGGGGCTGCCCCCCTCCAGGTTCTGTTGGCCCCCAACCTGCCCCAGTAGACCTGCCTGTGCTCCATCTAGTTCCCCACACCAAGCCCCTGCCACCTTAGCCCTGACCAGCCAGGGGACAGGGAAGGGGAGAGGTCTGCCTATGCCCCCAGCCAGCCCCTGTGGACCACCGCAGGGCACCCCTCATGGCCAGGCTCCCACCTGCCTGTGCCCCAGCAAGCTCTTGTGGGTGGCTCTGAGGGTCCAGCCAGCTCTGAGGGTAAACTCTTTGTGTCCCCAGATCACACTGACGACCATTGGCTATGGTGACAAGACACCGCACACGTGGCTGGGCAGGGTCCTGGCCGCCGGCTTTGCCTTACTAGGCATCTCCTTCTTTGCCTTGCCTGCTGTGAGTCCCCCTGCACTTAGGGTCCCCCGGCCTGGGGGAGAGGGCCCTGGGGGCAGAGCTGGGGAGCCCCTGTCCTGCATTTGCACAGGTGGGGGAGGTGACAGCGGGGGGGGATGGGGCTGGGATGGAGACCTTCTGGGCCTTTTGCTGTACCCCCCACCACCACCACCACCTTTCTCCCAACCACCCCTATTCCCCTAGGGCATCCTTGGCTCTGGCTTTGCCCTGAAGGTGCAGGAGCAGCACCGTCAGAAGCACTTCGAGAAGAGGAGGATGCCTGCAGCCAACCTCATCCAGGTACGAGTGGCTCAGGAAGCCCCTGAAATGAACTGGTGGGTCACCTCTCTGTGCTGACCTGGGTGTCCCACTCTCGTGATTGTGTCTCCACTTTGAAGCTTTTCTGAGGTCACGTGCCAAGTCCGGGCTAGAGCTGTGATGCTAAGTGGGACTGTCAGAAACTTCCCTTGTGCCCCACGTGCCAGTTCAGGCCTCGTCAGAGCTGCCCCACTGTCCCGCTCCAGCCCTCACCCTACGTGGCCTGCAGTGGAGTGGGGCCCCGGGCCTCTTGTCCTCCTGTCCCCACAGCCACCTGAAGGCTGTGCAGTCGTCAGTGGGCCTGCGCTGCTCCCAGCACCGGTTCATTGCACCAGTACTCACACGAATGAATGTTGTGACTACAGGCTGAGACAACTGCCTTAAAAGAAAGCATAGTTCTCTGCAGAGCATTTCACAGGGTTCTGGCCTGACCTTGAAGGGGAACTCAGGGATGATGACCCTAGAAAATTAACCCTTGCATTGCAAGCTGGAGGACCGGTAGGAGTCCACTAGGGGAAGAGGTGAAGTAAAGGAACTGCATGTGCAAAGGCCCAGTGGTGGAAAGGAGCATGGTGTGTTTGGTGAACTGGAAGGCAGCTAGCGAGGCTGGAAAAGCTCCAAGAAGGGTATATAGAGGAAGGAGGGGTCGGGTAAGTGGGTGAGGCCCAGGCCTGAAGGGCCACAGGGAGGAGCTTAACATTTTCCTAAGAGTGATGAGGAGCCACGGACAGTATGAAATGGGAGGAATGGGCCACAGGATCAGATTTGCATTTTGAAAGGAGGCAAGTGGGTTGGAGAGTGCCCCGGGTGTGCAGGGGGAGATGATAAGGGGCTCTGGCAATGTGTGGGCAAGGCGGGCTGGCAGACTGGCCCTCGTGGGAAGGAGGGAGCAGATTCTGTATATTTAGGAGGTGAAATTCGTGGCCTCAGCAGTGGGGTGGGGAGGTGTGTGGCGGGGGACTTCCAGGTTTCTAGCTCCCCCAACTGGATGATCGACCCCCCCCCACTGGAGGGGGACCGGGCTTGGGGCATGAGGCTTGTGAGTTTGGCCAGAGCAGGGAAAGCCTGAGGGCCTGAGCCCTGGGGGGCAGCATGGAGGAGGCAGCTGCACATAGGGGTCTGTAGCTAAGAAGAGTGGGACGTGCTGAGCAGGCAGGGGTGGAGAGTAATGGGGTCAGGGCCAGGATGAGCTGGCCTGGGATGGAGAGCAGGGGTGGAGAAGATGGTCCCCGACGAGCTTCGAGGAACCTCAGCATTTGGTGACTGGGGGGAGCAGGGCTGGGCTAGTCAGGGAGGCAGAGGAGGAGCCGCCAGAGGCGGGGGAAGAGAACCGGCAAAGCAGGAGTGCGTGGCCTCAGTTTCCCCCGCCGCACTGAGGCATGCTGATAGGCCGGGGGGCGGGATGGTTGGCAGGGGCTCCGGGGCTTTGGGACTCTGTGACTCAGCCCTGGGCTTCCCTCTAGCCGGGGTGCGAGGGGGAGCAGGGCCTGCTGGAAGTAGTTCAGGGGATACAGCTCCCTCGGCCTGCCCCCGGCGCCCGCCCTCGTGCTCCCACATCCAGGCCTAACTCGACCCCCCCTTATCTCTCCGCCCCAGGGTGGAACCCCCTCCACGTCCCTGCTATCTGCAGCCGCCAGTCCAGCCTTTCCTTCTCAGCGTCCCCTGGGGCACAATGGCTGTGGTCCCCTGGGGCCTGGCCTTCCAAGGGCCATCGTGAGGGCAGGTGGCTGGCACTGTCCAGGCCAAAAGACAGCTGGCATCGTGGGGCCCATAATTAATGCGACAGCTCTGGCAGCTGCTCCCTGGTTCAAGCCAGGGGCCGAGGCAAGCAGGACGTAAAAATACCCCTGTGCTAGGAGGGTGCCTGGCCAGTGAGCTCAGCAGTGGGCAGTGCCTTCGGGGCAAAGAAGTGCCCACAGCGGGGAGGCATCCGGGGCTCAGTTAGGCTCTGTCCATGCCTCCCTGCCCTCCCTAATCACCCCACTCCCAGCCCCTCCTTGGCTCCTCTTCTTACCAGGAGGGAGAAGGACAGTCCTTCCTCTTGTCCAGCCCTCATCCCTCCTGCTGCAGAGACAATCCTGCAAGTCCCTGCATGCTGAGGGGTGGGTAGGCCACACTCTGCCCTCCCCTCATCAAACCCCATGGGCAGTACCAGGCAGCTGAGAAAACACAGGGTGGATTTATTAGGAGCAATAATAATTCACCCAGCCAGTATTGGTCCCCAGCACCTACCGCGTGCCGGGGGTATAGCGGGGACCAAGACACAGCTTAGAGTCCAGAGGGCGGGAAAGACTCATCAAATACACAGGGAATAGCTGCTCCCTGGCTGTGGCCACGGGAGGGAACGGGAGTGTGGATGGGGGAGCCTGGTGTCAGGTGCCTTCTGTGTGCCGGGCACCGTGCTTGGCACTTGGTAGACATTGGCCCTTTTAATCCTCGTAGCAGGCTGTGGGGTCCGCAGCCTCTGGCTCTGGGTCCCCTCTGGCAGCTCCGAGGACTGGCTCCTTTGAGGGCAGAGGGCTATCGAGGGGCGAGAGGCTTCGCTGATGCCTTGTCCCCCCTCCCCTTCCTTCCCTCATCCGACCAGGCCGCGTGGCGCCTGTACTCCACCGACACGAGCCGGGCCTACCTGACAGCCACCTGGTACTACTATGACAGTATCCTGCCATCGTTCAGGTAGGCCCTGCTGCAGGGGGACAGGGTGGGGGTGGGAGGGGGCTGTTGGCCATGCCCCTTGAGGACCGGGGGCTGGGACTCAGAGCTGGAGGGTGGGAATGGGGCCTGGCTCTGCAAATCCCGTGTAATGCAGAGCCTGGAGCGTCCTCTCCCGTCCTGCTCTGCCCCGGGAAGGTGGTGGACACCAGGTACAGGGTGTGTGTGGGGGTTTGCTGCCCCTCAGGGCGGTGGCACAAACAGCTATCTCCCCTCCGTCCCAGGTGAGGGAGGGGTTAGCCCCTGCTACCTGGCATGCGGCAGCCGCGCAGAGGAAGTGTGTGCTATGGGCAGGAGCGTGTGTGCCAGAGGTGGGCGCCAGGCCCACCCCAGCGCCCCTGTGTGTGAGCCTGCTCCTGCTTTTCCTGGCCCTGTGCCCAGAAGCGGGTTCACCCCCCTGGCCCAGGGCGGCAGAAGGCTGCCCCTTATTAGTGACAGTCATCCCTGGGGCCTGTGCCTGGTCCTTGGGCAGGAGTGAAGACCAGAGAGTGCAGCTCAGTCCCCAGGGCAGGTGGGCATCAAGGGAGACTGGGCAAGGCTGGGCGAGGGCTGCTGCGCTCAGCACTTCTCCGGGGTGGGGGGGGGGGGTGGGGGGGCCTGTTCCTCATTAGTTCTCCAAGAGCAGATGATTCGTGATCCCACTCACCCCTACGCCTGGCTCCCCTTCCCTGCTCCCTCCGGGCTCCAGGGGCTTCCTAGGGGAGGCTCCAGGGGCTTCTTAGGGGAGCCTAGGAGAGAAGGGGTGGGGGAGGGGGCTCCCAGAATCACACTGGGTCCCTCCCCCGTCTCCACTTGGCAGAGGCAAACTCCCACTTCAGAGATAGGGGTTGGTGGTTGGTCTAGAAGGAGCCCCCCCTTCCAGGGGCAGCTCTAAGGACTGAAGGCTTTAGGGAGCGGGGCAGGAGCTGGTTTGTTAGGAATGGGGTGTATGATAGGGAGAGGGGGAGGGAAGATCTGGGGTAGTCCCGGGGCCTCTGGTAGGAGGGACGGAACTTGGTTTAGAGATTCTAGGTCCACGGGCCTTCTGCTCCTGGGAGCTCCCTGTCACACCCCTGTGATGGGCAGGCAGGGGGCAGGTACCCTCCTTTGGTTATGGAAATGGGACATGGCCTGGGGAGTTAGGAAGGAGCTGGGCCCAAATCTAGTCTCCAGGAACCAGGGGCAGGGGTGGATGCTGGAGGAGTGGGGGGCTGGGCTAGCTACCCCATCAAGTCTCTCTCCTAAAATCCAGTCAGATCAGGAGGGTGAGGATTTCAGGGCTGCTGCTGGCTTCCCCAGAGGCACAGCTCCATGAGCGGAAGTAGGCTAGATTCAAGCTCCCGCTTGCCGCCTTCCCAGGGTGCCCTCAAGTTGTGCCCAACCTGCACAACCATACTCGGCAGCCCTGAGGATTTCCCAGGAACTGAGTGCAGAAAGGAAGGGAGGAAGGTTAGTCTCTCCCACCAGCCATCCCCCCACCCTGCCTGTTCTGACTTGGGGTGTTTGCTGAGCCCCTCTAGAGGCAGAGCCTGGAAGGATCTGAGCTCCAGAGCTCGGTGCCCACCAGGCGAGTGGGGGGTGCCAGGGCCCTGCCTGCCGCTGATGGCGCCCTCTCCTGCAGAGAGCTGGCCCTCTTGTTTGAGCACGTGCAACGGGCCCGCAATGGGGGCCTACGGCCCCTGGAGGTGCGGCGGGCGCCGGTACCCGATGGAGCGCCCTCCCGTTACCCGCCCGTTGCTACCTGCCACCGGCCGGGCAGCGCCTCCTTCTGCCCTGGGGAAAGGTAGGGGCCCCCGGGGCCGCCACCTCCTCTTGCTTCTCTTCCTCCTCTTCCATTCTTTGTCTCACCCTCTCTCAGACCTGCCTGTGGCCACCATGTGGGTGTCTGGGCCTGTTCTGGGGACTCCCAGGCCTTGTCACGGGGCCGGGGCATTTGTCGTCGGATGGCCTGACAGGTACAGACTGAGAGCCTCTCTGGAGAGGCCAGGCTGGACTCACCGGCTTGTCACCTGGGGCTCTAAGGGTCTGAGCGGGGGAGATGTCCACACTGTCCTCTCCCGGCACCTCCTCCATTCATTCCATTTGTCCTCTTTCTTTCTGTTTCCACGTCCCCTCACTCTTCCATCCCTGCACCCCCATCCCTCCCGGGCAGCTGGAGAGAGGAGGAGGCCGCTGGCCACAGGTGCTTACGGCTCAGGTAATCGTGGGCCCCATTCTGGGGCGCGAGGGCAGGGAACCCCCTCCCCCAGCATGTTCCTCTAGAAGGGGCTCGCCACCTTGCCTCTCGGGAACGAGGTGCCAGCTGGAGACAGAGATCCGTGACTAAGAACCGCTGTAGGACCTACGTAAACTCAGCCAATGACTAATGCTCTTGTCTCGTGCAACCCTTGTGTACAGCTTGGCTAATCCCAGAGGGTCCTCTTGGGATTCTCCCACAATGCCTTTCTTCCTCACTGAGGGACATTTTGCTGCTCCTAACAGTCTCTTTCCCCTTGGCCTGTCTCTCCTGGAGCTTTTGCATCCTGAAAGAAGAACCAAGAAAGAACAATGCTTACCCCTACGTACATGTTCAAACTAGTGGAATTTCAGGCAATTTTGGAGAAGGGCAGCTCTCTAGCTCACAGGATGGGGGAGCGGCTGCTCCTGTAGAGGGTTCAATCCCCCCTCATTCCCCCTCCCCGCCCCCTCCCCATCGCTTTGCTCTGTTTCATCCTCACACATCATCCCTGATCAGCCAGGTGGGCCTCTGGGCCTTGAGCCTCAGGTGTGATTCTGAGCCCTGGGCCCAGAGCAAGGGAGGGAAGAGGCCAGCCACTCAGCCATCAGGAGGCCCGCGTGGTGGAAGCTGGCCTCTGCCACCTGATGCTGTGTGTCCTTGAGAAAGTCATCGTGTCACTCTGGGCCTCTGGGTCCTAGGCAGCAATGTATAGGCAGCTCAGGGGCTCTGGGGTTTCCAGGCTCAAAGGCCTGTGGGGGAGAGGGGCAGGGGTCAGTGCAGAGGATGCCGGGAGCAGCACTTCTTCCCTGTTCTCAGTGAGGGCATCTCTGACCAGGGGCCCAACAGGGAGCAGGAAGCGGGGAGACGGAAGGCCCCTCCAGATCAGGGGCTAGAGGGACGGGAGGCATGACTGGCCAGGCCTGGCTGGGAAATCTCCAGAAGACAGTGCATGGCACCTCTCCCACCCACAACTGCTGTGGGACTCTGGGTCCCCCTAAGCCTAGGGCCAGATGACTGCTGAGGGCTTGGCATTCACTAATCCCCAGCCTTGCATCCGTCTGCCCTGGACTGTCTGTGTGGCTGGGGCTCCTGGTGAGGGTGGTGGAGTGTCCCTTCTTCCCCGGGCACCGCAGGAGGTCGAGCTGTGACTTCTAGGACATCAGTCCCCAGGCTCGGGCCAAATGGCCATATCCTTAACTCTTGGCTATCTGGGCCCTATGGGGTGGGTGCTCCAGACAGGACCTCCCCCCCCCCCCGCCCGACACACACACCCACATACATATCCACACTTCTGCTGGTTGTGGTGCTTGTAGAAGGACCCAGAACTACAAGAAGCAGGACTTCCTGGGGGATGGCATTGCCAGGGCCAGCACCTCCTCTCTTTGAGGTTTTTCCATGAGGCACTAAGACGCTGTTTCTCAAGGCATGGTCCACTGACTTCCTGCATCAGCATCTGTGGGGCATTGCTTAAAAAATGCAGATCCCTGGACCTCTCCCCAGGGCCACAGGAGGAGACTCTCCGGAGAAGAGGCACAGAACTCTGCATATTCAACTTGCTCCCCAGGAGATCCTTATGCAAACCCTGAGAATCTCTGCATTCTGGGGATGTGGGCTGGAGGAGGATTTGGGTGGGGGTTCTTCTCTCCCACCAGCCACAGGAAGCCAGCCCCATCCTGGCAGCTCCCCACGCTCCACCCACCTGCCCCCTTCCCACTAACCTCTGTTTGTGTCTTGTTCTCAACTTCCAGCCAGATGTTTAGTAATAAACGGAGTTTCTTTCGGATCCACGCCAGCTGGAGACCGAGGTACCCCCTCGCCTGCTCCTCCTGTCCCCTCTCCTCCTTGCCCCACCCAGTTCGGGGGCTGGAGAGGGGGACAGGATAGGCCAAGGCCAAGGTGCATGTGCCTGCAGCCTGCCGTCTGCCTTGGGGCCCTGAGGAGGCTCTTACCTTCCTGGGGATGCCTCTGCCGGGTCGGAGGGCATGGGCCTGGAGCCCGCTCTGCCAGGAGGGACATCTGTAGGAGACGGGATGAGTTCTGGCTCTGCCGCTGACCCGCTGTGCGATCTTGGTCAAATTGCTTCCCTTCTCTGGACCTGTGGAACCAGGAATGGGCAGATTGAACTAGAGGCTCTCTGAGGGTCCTTCCCACTCTGACTTGCCAGATGTTGGGTTTAGCTTCCTGGCTTCCTGCTACCCCCTCCCCACCCCCTGGGGACCAAGCAGATGCCTGAAGGAGCTGAGATTGGCACCTCTTTCGCTAACGCTAGAGCCCAGCTCTTAGAGCTGCATCACCACTACATGCCTTAGTACCTGCCCTGTGCCCGGCCCCGCACGAGGGACGTAGCAGTGCATAAAAGACGGTGCCTGCAGAGTTGCAGAGAGCAGTTGCTGTCCTGTGGGATGAATGCAATGAAAGGAGGAAGCAGAGGGGCTACGGAGCCAGGGTCAGGCACTTCACCTAGAGGAGCCCCCAAAAGGAGTGGACATGAGGGAGGGCCTGCCAGGCCAAGGAAGCAGCGTGCACCAAGGCGAGGAGGTGAGAGAGAGCACAGCCGTGGAAAGGGAGCAGGCAACCCAGTGTGGCCAGATCTGAGAGTGCGGGCTCAGGAGTGAGGTTGGGGACTGAGCCGGATCGTGAGGAACCCCAAGGCCCTGGCTGAGTGTCATGCAGTAGGCCCTGCCTGGCCGGCTGGGCTCACGGCGTCTTGGGTCACCCCAGAAGGGCTTCTGGAACCTTGTGGGTTTGGGGAGCCCGTAAGTATGTGGTTGACAGAGCTTCTGGCTGCCCGTCCAAGAGGCAGTGCTTCGGAACTAGTGTCCTGGATCCGAACCTGGCCGCCATGCGCTAGCTAGGGGACCGTCACCAGACGCCTCGAGTGCCTCAGTTTCTGCGGATGGTAGTAGCATCTGCTTCCCCTCAAACCGTGCCTGGCTCATAGGAAGTGCTAGATAAGTGGTTGGCCTTGTTCAGTGTGGTGTGTGGAGCAGCTAAGATCTTATTTTTATTTTTATTTTTATTTATTTTTACTTTTTGTAAAGATTTTATTTATTCATGAGAGACACAGAGGGAGAGGCAGAGACACAGTCAGAAGGAGAAGCAGGCTCCTCGCAGGGAGCCCGATGTGGGACTCGATCCTGTGCTCCAGGATCATGCCCTGAGCTGCAGGCAAACGCTTAAGCACTGGGCCACTCAGGCGTCCCAGATCTTATTTTTAAGCATAGCTTGGACACCATGGCTGAAGGCAATGGGGACACAACTGAGAGGTTAAGCTGCAGAGTCTCTGGGTTGGACCTGCCCCTTTGCAAGACGCCGTCAGCAGCGTGGGCATGATGAGCTGGAAGGGCCAGGCCAGGCCAGGGGGGCCAGCCATGAGGCTGCGCAGAGGGGCTGTAGGCAGCGTCGGAGGGGGTGGGCGGCCTCTTCCCCCCAGGAGCGTGGCCTTTGCGCCAGATGGAATCCCTAAAGTCATTCGTTGTGGACACAGAGGTTGATCCAGCAGGGCAGTCGGAGGGCAGCCTGTGTCCAGTCCCGTCCTCCCCCACGGGGTCGCCTCAGTCAGGCCTACCCCTCCGTGTCCCAGGCCCCGACAGCCCCCTCAGACCAGTCTTTCAACGTCGGCACCAGGGAAGTCTTGGTTTGGATCATTCTTCACTGGTGACGGGACTGTCACATGCGTTATTTAGCATTGTTGAGCAGCCTCCCTGGCCTCGACCCACTAGATGCCAGGAGCGCCCTCTAATGCGACACCAGAAATGTCTCCAGGCATTGCCGAGCATCCCCGGGTGAGCAGACCTGCCCCCAGCAGAGAGCTGCTGCCCTGGACACTGTCCTGATCGCTGGTCCCCGAGAAAGAACAGTCTCTGAAGTCTCAGAAAAGGCTGAGTTCTGATCCTTGCTGCTTCTGGGGCTTTGGGCAGGTTGTTTGACCTCCTTGCCAGTCTGTAAACGAGGGATGGTACCCGCGGAGCCCACCACACAAAGCGGCCAGGAGGGCCAAGGCCTCAGACAGGACCTTGCGTGTCCCGAGGAGCCTGGGGTGGGAAGGAGCTCCCCCGACGTCCACCGCGTGCCAGGTTTCTTTCCATTTTGTTTGAGCTTTTAGGCTCCAGAGAGGCTGACGTGAGCCGTTTCCTGGGCCCTGCCCAAGGAGCTGGAATCCAGGGCCACCCCTGGGAAAACAGTGCCTTCTTACATTCAAGAGGGGCCCAGGGCCTCTGGCTGGCTGGAAAGTTACAGAACCCCACAAACCAGGCTGGAAGCTCCTCCAACCATCACAGAATCAGAGCTGGAAAGGGACCTTTCAAGGCCTCTAGTGCAAGCCTCCAGACCCCTTCTTCCCTGAGTCCTGCTGAGAGCAAGCCCAGTCTTGCTTGCACACTTCTCGTGAATAGGGAGGTCCCCCCTTCTCCCAGAACATCATTGGAGTGATGTGCTGGGCGCAGAGATCTGGAGTTCCAGCCCTTTGGCTGTGTGCCAGGGCCTTCTCCACCCCCCTCTTGCTCTCCCCCTCGGAGGAGTGCAGGACAGAGGGAGGGGTTGCACGGGCCGGGCGGGTGGGGGGTGCTTGCCAGCATGAGGAGAGCCTGAAGGAATGGCTCTGTAGAGGAAAGTTTGGGAGAGCCAACCTCAAACTTTGGTTGGCATCTCCGGGATGTTTTGAGGGGATCCTGGGCCAGCAGACAGCATGCTGGATTGTGGGGCTTGCCTCGTCCTTCCTTTCTGATATCCTCAGGGCCCCAATCCACGACCTGTAACCTCTCCCTTCTGGGCAGAGGCCCCTACTCCTAAGGATGGTTCTACATCCTGGCTGCCTTCTCGAAGGTGCCCCTGGTTTCGAGATCTTCCTCACCTCAGCACCTTGGCTCTATACCCTGTACCCCATGCCCAGGGCATGGGGGACCCTAGTTCCCACCCAGCCCTGAAACCAGAACGTGTCCCCTGGTCAGCTCTTGACCTGGAAGTGCCTGACAGTCGGTGGTCCAGTCTCCTCCCCGCATCCCTGTACCACCTTAGGCCTCCTCCAAGACTGGCTGGTGCTCTCCTGAGCCAGGGCCCAGACATTTGGGGTGAAAGGGCCCCCAACCTGCCCATAAGCCACAGCAAGGAGGCAGTCGTCACGAGGGCATGGGGTGGAAGACGTTTGCATAGGTCCTACCAGACAGTGACTACACGATCCTTGAAACCCTGGGACACAGAGTTACCCTCCTGGGTATTGGCTAGCCAGGGCCTGTCCTGGGCCACCTGGGGCCTCCCCACCCCGTCTTCCTCCGAGGATCGGGGATGTGGTAGGGAGTTGGGGTGCGGGAAGGGAGGTCTGAGCACACGCCCGGACGTGCACATGTGTGTACCTGTGCACACAGATGTGCAGGGGTTGTTGAAATGGGGGTTCATTAGGCAGTGGGGGGTGCGGAGCTGGGAGAGTGGGCCTCAGTCCAGGTGGGCAGCTCTCAGGCAGGGGGGACCACAGGAGAACGGCTTAAGACCTTCACTGGGGCGGGGAGAGGGGGCACCAGACATGTCCCAGGCGTAGATGTGGGCTCGGCAGCCAGACCACAAGGCCAAGGCCCTCTGCGGCCGGCACGTTGCACCCCGGGCGGGGGCACTGTTTCTGCTCGAGTCTGCGATGCACACCTTGGGAGTTTGGCAATGTTCTGCCTGCAAAGCGGTACCACGTCCTAAAGCCCTGACCCAACCCGTGTGGGATCGGAGAGCTCCAGCAGGAAAGGAGGAAAATATAAATTGACAGTGTAGACACACTGGTACCTAGGTGCTCACACACACACACACACACACACACACACACACACACACACCCCCGCCAGCTCCACAGCCGGCCTCTGTGTACAGTGAGGACCTGGAGGCCTTTCTCAGTGTGCATGGCCAGGTGAGCCTCTCCATCCCTCAGCAGCCCGTCTGTGCGCAAAGGGGTGGCCACCTCCACCTCCACCCACCCACCTGAGCCAGGCCCAGCTCTCCCATCCTCCTGTCTGTCTCTGACTCGCTTCTTGGGTCTCTCTCACTCCTTCCGCTCTGACATCTGTCTCCTGTGTGCCCCCCTTATCTGTTTGTGCAATGAGGGGTGGGAGATGGGGGTAGGGAGGGGATCTGCTCAGACTGACCCCTCATCAGCTTCTGGAAGGGTCAGGGCCCCCCTTGCCACGCCCTTGTTCCGACCCAGGAAGCCTCCACTTGGTGGAGAATCAAAACCCAGTAGCCACCCCCAAGTCCTAAGTCAGCTGCGCCCCCCCTGAGCACCCCCTCTCCCTGCTCCAGCTAACTTGGCTCTCTCCCCCACCCGACCTGCCCTGCCAGCAGCCGGATGGGCATCAAGGACCGCATCCGCATGGGCAGCTCTCAGCGACGGACGGGCCCCTCCAAGCAGCACCTGGCACCTCCGCCAATGCCCACCTCCCCAAGCAGCGAGCAGGTGGGCGAGGCCGCCAGCCCCACCAAGGTGCAAAAGAGCTGGAGCTTCAATGATCGCACCCGCTTCCGGGCCTCCCTGAGACTCAAACCCCGCACCTCAGCCGAGGGTGAGCCCCTGGGGGCCTGGGGCCCAGGACCTACCTGCGGTGGGGGGAACCGAGTCAGGACAAGGGGTGGCAGGATGGTTCCGGTCCCAGCTCTCTAACTGCTCGACCGTCTTTGGGCTCCGGTTTCCTGGTCTGTGAATTGGGCGCCATAACACCTGCTTTGCCAGGCTCCAGACTGTTCAAGAATCAAATGAGAATGTAGAGGGTCGCACTTGGGAAGGGTTAAGAGGGCAGGCTTTGGAGCCAGGCTGCTGGGGTTTGAATCCCGGCTTTGCCACTTATGGGAAAGTTTTAGGATCCCATGAGCCAGTCCTTGGGAAGCGCTGACCTATGGGAGCCTGGGCACGGCTGGCGCCCAGGGCCTCGTCTTCCCTGCCCAGGAAGCTGCCTGCCTTCCACCCTCCCTGCCCCCGTGGAGCAAGGATAGCATCCCCTCTCCGTGCACTGCAGCAGCCTGGAGGAGCGTCTCTCACCCGGATAGAGAAGGACTGGCTTTCAGGGCCTGACCCAGCAGCGGAGCTGGGCACGGGAGCCAGGGGCTCGAGCTCCCTTCCCTCGTGGCTGAAGGATAAGACCGCGTGTGTGATTATGTGCAGAGGCCTCGGGTCCCTGGTCTCTGGGGCTCGCTGTGCTCGTGGGACCAGGGGGGGGCTTCCTCCCGGGCTGCGTGGAATTTTCCTCAGGCCAAACCCTAAAACAGCTCCTGCTTACCTGGCCCCCAGGCAGATTCTCGCCCTGACCAGTCATAGGGCAGATGGGCATGCGGTGAACCAGGGTTTTCCACGCGGGGTAAGGCAGTCAGGGAGGCTGGAGCCTGGCCTGCCTTGTGCCCCCAAGAAGGTTCTAGACTCTTTCTGAGCCTGTCTCCTTATCAGTATCTCTAAAGGGGGGTCCGGCAGGTGGTGGTAGGGGTTGGGAGTGGCCCCTTCTGCTGCCACCACCTGGCCCCCTGACTTTCCAGAGGGCCCCTCGGAGGAAGTGGCGGAAGAGAAGAGCTACCAGTGTGAGCTCACAGTGGACGACGTCATGCCCGCTGTGAAGACGGTCATCCGCTCCGTCAGGTGAGACTGAGGCCTGAGGCGCCCCCTCCCAACCCGTCTGCCACCCATTGCTGCTCCCCATCTGGGGCCTGCCCTCATGGCCAGGCCTGGCCTGGCTCCCGGGCATGCCAGCTGCTGCCCGCCTGGCACCCTTGGCGGTGCTGGCTGGCGGGGACCCTGGAGTGTGGGTGGGGTGGGAGGTGGCATATGGCTCCCAGCAGGGCTTGCTCATCTTCTTCACGTCTGGAGGGCTGGCTGGCTAGGGTCGTAGGCTCGGCTGCCCACTGTGGTCCCTGTCCTACACCCGCAGGGTCCTCTCTGAGTCCCCCCCCACCCTTCCCCCGCCCTAGCTGTGTACCGCCTCCTGCCTGTCCCAACGTCTGTCCTGGGGGCTCTTTCCTCATCTCTGTCTCAGTTTCATATTCCTTTCGCTGCTGTGTCTCACCGTTTCTCTCTCTCCTTGGGTCTCTTGACCTCAGCTTGTCTGGCTCCCTCAGGGCTTCCTCTAGAGCAGAGCTTTTCAAACCACAGGTCACAACAGTTTGAAATCAACTTAGTAAAATCAATTTAGTGGGCCATGGTCAGCATTTACCAAAAAAAAAAAAAAAAAAAAAAAAGGAATAGAAAATAGCAGAGTGCATTCCCCAGTAGGAAGGATAAATAATGTTGATGAAACATACGTTTCAGTTACGTGTGTGTGTTACTGGTTTCTGATGTAAAATGTATTTTTTAAAAGATTTATTTATTTTGGAGGAGTGAACAGGGGGAGGGGCAGAGGGAGAGGGAGAGAGGGAATCCCAAGCAGACTGGCGGCTGAGTGCGGAGCCCGATGACGATGACAGCAGGGCTGGATCCCACCACCCTGAGATCGTGACCTGAGCCAAAACCAAGAGTTGGACACCTAACTGACTGAGCCACCCAGGCGCCCCGTAAAATGTATTTCTTAGGGTGGGTCTGGGTCAAGCAAGTTTGGAAGCCCCTGTCCTCCGGCTTCCTGCCCAAGACTCTCCCCGTTCAGGGCATTCCCCACACAGGCGGGCAGAACTATCATGCCAACCAGAGGAAACCCCACGGCCCCTTCCCCACCACGTGGCCCAGTCTCTGCCAGGGATTCGGGATTCAGGGCTCCCCAGAGTTCCTCCTCACTCACCCCCCACCTCCACCCACTAGCCTCCTTTTCAAGGCCAATCTCTTTCTCAGCTTTTTTTTTTTTTTTTTTAGATTTTATTTATTTATTTGAGAGAGTGAGAGAGAAAAAGAGAGAGAGCACAAACACTGGGAGAGGGAGAAGCAGACTCCTCACTGAGCAGGGAGCCGGACTCGGGGCTCAATCCCAGGACCCTGGGATCATGACCCAAGCTGAAGGCAGAGGCTTAACCCAACTGAGCCACCCAGGAGCCCCAACTTTCTCTGTCTTCTTACCTGCCACCCCACCTCCCCAGGTGGATCTGCCCCTTAGTTCCACTCTGGCTCCTAGTTCTGGCTCCTTTGAACAGAATCTCCCTCACATGCCTCCATGTCTGTCTGCATCCAGGAGGTCTCTTTTCATCCCCCTCTTGCCCTTGGGACCGGAATCACTCTCAAGACTTGTCGTCTGACCTCCTCAGCTGAGAGCCCCCTTCTCATCATCCCAGACCATCTCTCCATTCCTTGCCATGGCCTTTGTCACCCCATAACTGTGTCCTGTCTCCCACCCCACAGCAGGGCTACTCAGATCAGGGATTGGATCTGATGCCTTTTTGGGTGTCCAGGGTCCAGTTATTAGTGGTGCTAATAAACATTTGTGGAACGAATGCAAAAGTGTCTTCCCCCAAGCCGTCTTGATCACCGGTGTTCACAGATGCCTGCCCTGTGTCCCAGCTAGCAGGGAGAAACCAGGCCCAGACCCTGCCCTCCCAGGCTAATGCTACTGCAGATACAGGCACATTAAAATAATAATAATAATAACAAAATAATAATAATAATACCAGGGAGACATCAGAGGGCTAGGGGTGGAACCTGGTGGGGAGGAGGGAGGCTGGGAGACCCAGCAGGGGCTTTTGCAGTGACCCAAGCAGAAGGTGCTCTCATGCTGGGCAGAAGGTTAGCTAGCAAAGGGATGGAAGGATAGCAAAGGGGGCTGGGAAAGAATCTGTTTCCGCTGAGACCCTCCTCTCTGGACAGGATCCTGAAATTCCTGGTGGCCAAAAGGAAATTCAAGGAGACGCTGCGACCATACGACGTGAAGGACGTCATCGAGCAGTACTCGGCGGGGCACCTGGACATGCTGGGCCGGATCAAGAGCCTGCAGGCTCGGTGGGTGCACGGGCAGTGAGGTGACTCCAGCCCCAAAGCGAGCCCTGCGAGGAGGGGGTAGCACCCACCCCCACCACCCCCACCCCGCGCCGGGACAGAGCCGCCAGCGCCCCCTAGGGGCCGCGGCGGGAGCTGGAGGTTCTGGCCTGGGCAAGGCTCCTGGCTTGCAGGGCGCACCTGCCTTGAGCCTGAAGAAGGACCCAGACGCCCGTCCTCTATGCGAACCCTGTGGTCGTCCTCGGGGGATGTCTTTAGATGGCTGTTTCCTGGCCCTAAAATAATAGGATTAAAAATAATTAGTGATCTCCCATCTGCCAAGCACATAGGAAATCGTCCTCAATGCTGCCCACCTCTTGCCTCGGGAAACCTCCCACATCTCTTCTCTTCACCCAGTATATAGGAAGAATTCTTGCACCAAGACCTTAATCACCTACACCTTGCTCTTCTCCTCTTGTGGTCTGCATTCTCACTGCCCACTCATCGACTTGGTCTCTTAAGAAACAGTCATTGAGCTTTTGTTACTTGCCAGACAGTGGGGCTCTGGTAGAAAGCAAGAGTCCCTGGCCTCATGGAGCTTTTATTCTGGTGGAAGGAGAACAGATGATAAGTAAGTGAAACTAGACGATGTCAGATGATGATCAAGGCTAAGGAGAAACAGAAGGGTTAGGTTGTTGAGGTTTGTGATTTTAAATAGGCAAGAAGCTGACATTTGAGAAAAGAATTGAAGGTGGGGCAACAGGAGGCTACAGGCAACCCTGTGGCTGTTGAAGAGTTTTCAGAGGGAACAGCAAGAGCAAAGGCTCCAGCAAGTGTCTGTGGTGGTGTTTTAGGAACAGCAAGGAGCCCAGTGTGTCCGTTCTGGCCTGAGAGAAGTAGGCGAGGTTAGTAGACAAATGGCACTTGGACTGTATAAAGCCCTGTAGGCCACTGCAGACAAGCTGGCATTCATCCAGGGGGAGATGCAAGCCTTGGAGAACTTTGAGCAAAGGACTGGCAAGATCTGAGTTGTATTTTAAAAGGAGCACCCTGGGTGCTATGCTGAGAATGACCTATCAGGGAGCGAGGGTGAAAGCAGGGCGACCAGTGAGGAGGCTGCTTCAGACGTGCAGGCAAGAGATGATGAGGACTTGGACCGGTATTGGCAGCAGTGGAGGTGGGGAGAAGCGTGCACACTCCAGATATATTTTGAAGGTCGAGCCGACAGGGTTTTCTGATGGGAAGTATAAGAGAAAAAAAAAGAAAGTCAAGGCTGAGGCCAAGGGTGATGGCTTGAGCAACAGGAAAAAGTTGGTTTGTTGACATGGAGAAGGCAACAAGTGCAGCAGGTTGCACTCAGGAGAGCTGGGAGGTGTTGGGTTATGATGCCCATCGGGACCTCTACAAGGAGTGTTGCTCTGGCAGTTAGGCTTGGGCTTCAGAGGAGAGGTGTGGGCTGGAGAGACAGATTTGCCGTCAACAGGGTACAGAGGAATTGCAAATGTGGAACGGAAGACGTCACTTAGTGAGAGTGCATAGAGAAAAGAGGTCCCAGGAGTGAGCCTTGGGTCTTGTGCTGTTTCCTGGAGGTGAAGGAGGCGGGACCAGCAAAGGATGGTGAGAAGGAGAGGTTAGGGACGTGGGAGGAAAGCTGGGAGAAGGTGGTGTTGGCGACCCCACGTGAAGGAAGTGCAGGAGGAAGGGCGATCAGATGTGCCAAGTGCCACTAAAAGGTATAATAAGGAGGCTGAGAGTTGATCATCGAATTTAACAGCACAGGTCATTTGGGATCCTGACAGTAGTAGGTTCGGTGAGATGGTGGGAATGAAAGCCCGCCTGAAATAGGTTTAAGAGAGAGAGGGAGGAAAGAAATTGGAGATAGAGGGCAGAGAGAATGCTTCCAAGAGTCACGCTGTGGCTCTGTGGGCCAGCTCCAGCCGCGTGCGCCTTGTAACTCGCATTCCTGCTTGGGTCTCTCTTTTCCCGTCCACCGTCTTCCCACCAGGCAGTTGCTTTACTCATCATGCTGGTGTGTGGTGCTCTTCCACTGCTGGGCTAGTTGGAACACCTGCAAACCTGGAAGGCCCCTCCATCCAGCTCAGTCTCCATTCGTCAGGGCAGAAGGGCGCCCTCCTACCAGTGCAGGCTGGGTCTCCCCGTTCCCCAGGCAACCTAGAGTGCTTGAGGGAGCGGGGAAGGGATGGGTGGCGTGTGCCTGGGCCCTTTGACGGTTACCTTCCTCCGCAGGGTGGACCAGATTGTGGGCCGGGGGCCCGGGGACCGGAAGGCCCGAGAGAAGGGAGACAAGGGGCCCTCCGACACGGAGGCGGTGGATGAGATCAGCATGATGGGACGCGTGGTCAAGGTGGAGAAGCAGGTGAGTATGGGATGGAGTTTCGCTGCTATGGCGGAGCTGGTCGTGGGCCGAGAAGCTCCGGAGGGCCGCGGGGAGGTTGCCCGCCTCAGCCTCAGCCGCCGCCGCGAACCCCAGCCTGGGAGGCCGGAGGAGGGCCCGCGCCCCGCAGATAAGCCCCGCCTCCCAGGAAGCCCGCCTCCCAGGAAGCCCGCCCACGCCTGCCAAGCCCCGCCTCCAGGTGGGCGTGGCCTCAGGTGAACCCGACCCGGTGCCATCTACTGCCACGTGACCCCGCCTCCGTTGTCCATCTCTAGCTCCCGGAATACTGCAACCAGTCACAATTAAATTTCCCTCCGGGGGAAAAAAATAAATAAAAATAAATAAATAAATTTCCCTCCGGGAAGGAACCTCCCCACCCCCCTTCAGTTTCCCACCTCCGCCCCGCCCCCTGGCCAAGCCCCGCCTTTCCTTCGCCCCTCCCCGGCCAAGCCCCGCCCCGCCCAAGTCCCGCCTTCCATTCGCCCCGCCCCGGCCCCGCCTCCTGGCCCGCCCCTCCAAAGCCCCGCCTCCCGCCCTAGCCCCGCCCCTCCAAAGCCCCGCCTCCAGCCGCGCCCCGCCTCCGGCAGGTGCAGTCCATCGAGCACAAGCTGGACCTGCTGCTGGGCTTCTACTCGCGCTGCCTGCGCTCCGGCACGTCGGCCAGCCTGGGCACCGTGCAGGTGCCGCTCTTCGACCCCGACATCACCTCCGACTACCACAGCCCCGTGGACCACGAGGACATCTCCGTCTCCGCGCAGACGCTCAGCATCTCCCGCTCGGTCAGCACCAACATGGACTGAGGGGCTTCTCAGGGGCGGGGCAGCACACGGCCGGCCCTCGGAGGCCCCGGACTCCTCTCTTACTTGAACTTGCTCCCGTGCGGGGAGGGAGGCCACACGCAGTATTGAGCTGCCTGGGTGGGCGCGATACCCGGCGTGGGGGTGCCAGCGACCTGCCCCACCTCAGGAGCGCGAGATGTCCGGCCCCCCAGAGCCCCACCCGTTCCATCGAGGCCCCGCATGGCCCGCCGGGCAGGGGCCGTGTCCCGGGAGTGGGAGTGGGGCGCTGGGGTCCTGGGCCCCGACCCAGCTTCCAGCTATGCAAGGTGAGGTCTCCGGCCCGCCATTCGGACAGAGCAGGGAAACCCTCCCGCCAAGTCCCCGCCCCACTTGGGGTGGGCCCAAGGTGCCCAGGGGTACCTCTAAGCATAGAACCCTGCCGCGAGGCAGTTGGGCACCATATATGCAAACTATGTTAAATATGCAACTTTGGGGACCCCCATGGGGTCCCTCTGCCCCTCCCTCATTGGGAGATGGGCCCCAGCAATAGCTGGTCTCAGGCTGCTTGGCCATGACCCCCATCCTTGTTCTTTGGCTTACCACCGGCTCCTCACCCAGCATGGGGCCTGTTTCTCCCTTGCCTCCCCAAGGGCAGCGCATGGGCCTTTCTTCCCATTGGGAGGTATCCCCTCCCAGGGGCTCCTTCCTCCTGCTGGATGTCCACTCCCCTCCTTGGCCCTCCAGACACCTTGGTCAGCACAGGTTTCTGTATTGGCCTCCAAATCTCCCATGGACAGTGCTCCTGTGGTCACACAAAGTTTCCCCGAACATGCGGAAAGCCTCTCCTACTCACTGACACACACAATCACACACACTTGGAGACACGAGCACACAGCCATTCAGCCTTTCTTGGGCCTCTGCAGCTGATGCCAAGGGACAGAGGAAGCCTGCCGTTCCATCTGAGTAGGAGAGGGAGCTCTGAAGTGACCCCAGGCCTCACCTCAGAGTTTTACTAGCTCCCGTTTCTCAAGATCTACTTCTCACTGGTTCAAGAGCCCTAACTGCTGCTTCTGCTGCCCCCAAAGGTCCTCCTACAGCACAACTCAGGCCTAGGCCTCTCCTGCCTGGAAGGCACTGGAAAGACCCAGGCCCTTCCCCGGGGTGGTTGTCAGGCCTGCTTCCACTAGACTTGCCCCCTTCCTCGTCCGTCTCAGCCCCTGAGAGAATACTAATGCATTTAGCAACTCCTATTTGTTGGGCACCAGCTGTGCCTTTGGCACTCGCAGGCACCGTTTCCCTCCTTCTGCACCTCACTCTTCACTTCAGTTGGCAGCCCCCCAATACTGGCATTAAGTCCCCCCCTCCATGCCAGGCCCTCAGCACATCTGAGGGCATCCCTACCTTTCTGTCCCTCTTTTTGCAAAGCCAATGCAGGGAGCAGGAGGGTGATGGGTAGTGGACCGATGGTGACCCTCTGTGGGGTACCAGGGAACCAGGGGCTCAGGCCCAGCCACCTGCATCTCATGACTGGGGACCTGCATGCACCAGCTCCAGGGCTGGGGCTGGATCTTGCTCAGCCCCATGGTGCCCAGCCTCTGCCCCCACATACCCTCTGCATGTGACCATCATACCCTGGATGGAGCCTGTCCTGGCTCACTTCACCTGCACTGCACTGTCCCCAGAGAGCCACCCCCTATCCCCTCAGAGACAGAGCTGTGGAGAGGGGCAGGAGAATGGGATCACCCTATGACCAAAGGAGATTTGGGATGAAGCCCTCCCTCCTTCCACGATCGAGGTTCCCCCACCAACCCTGTTCTCGGATATGCAAGTACCTCACTTTGTTAACTTATTAACTTATTGGTTTCATTAAACTTTTCAGTAGGAGGTGGTTGCTTTTGGCTGTTCAGTGGCTCTGGGTGGGGTACCTGGTCTGGGAGTGGGGATGAAGACACTTGGAGTAGTCGGCACTCTTCTGGTTGTAAACCACAATACCCTAACCCATTATAGCTTAAGAGAAAAGGAAGGAAGGAAGGAAGGGAGGGAGGCAGGAAGGGAGGGAGGGAGGGATGAAGGAAAATTAAAAAAAGGAAGGAAGGAGGAGAAAGAGGAAAAGAAAAGCAAAAAGAAAGAAAGCAAGCTGAGATAAATAAACTGCCTGGAGTCTAGAATGGTTTTAGGCAGAGCCAGAGCTAGGTGCTTTAACTGTCAGGGATCTGTCTTGTGTCTCAGCCTCCCTCTCAGGCAGGCTGACCTCTCATGATGACCCTGGCACTTACAAATGTACTTTCTCTTGGCTTAGGGCCCCAGTGAAAAGTGAGTACCAGTTCCCTAATAGTTTGTGTCAGTCAGGGTCCGCTTAGGAAGGCGGAAACTAGGCTAGGTTTTCAACGATGAGAATTCACCATAGGGACCGGATTACCCTGGTGTAGGTGGGCTCAAAGAGCCAGAAGAACGAAGATAACTGAGAGGGGGTCCCTGCAGGAAACAGCTGCCTTTCCTACAGCTGTAGGATCATAGGGGGAGAGAGTGGGGTTAGCGGAACACACAGGCTTGTTTGGGGGAGTCCCATAGTGCTGGGGCTCTGGATACTGAAGAGGGGGTCTGGCTGGCTGGTTCTAGTACCTCTCCGGGGATACAGCGAAGCTCGTCTGAGGGTGCAGGAAAAGAGCTGAAGGCTGGTATCAACTGTTGCTATAGGGCTGTTGCTGATGAAGTTACAAGCAAAGGAAGAAGGAAGCCTCCATTCCTCCTGCCTTCCAACCTTTCCTTAATGCCCCTATTGTCAAGGCCAGCTAAGAAAGGTAACGTGGTTTGCAGAGTCTCAGCCCCAGGATCACAGAACAGAGTATGGAAGGTTGTGTTTGGAACTATAAGACAGTAGCTGAATAACTGGCACAGTCCCCCCTTTGGGCACTCGGCATCCACACACACCATTCCACACACACTTGAACCTCCACCCAATAAGATGAAACTACCCTGTATATAAATGAAGACACTAAAAAAAAAAAAAAAGAAAGAAAAAGAAAAAAAAACAATGAAGACACTAACTCTCTCTCCCCCCAAATAGAAAAAAGCACAAAGTCCCACTGTCCAATAGATGTATCCATCTCCAGGAGTTCGTCATTGAATCCGTATCTGCAGGATGTTAATTTTTTTACTCCTCTAATTCAGCCACAAGCCCACCTACAACTAAACAGTAAACTGTAAAGTTAGCAATCATAATCTTTATATAAAATAATAGGGGAGAAGGAGGAGTGAGGAAAAACGAATTACTTAATAGGCAATATAGACACCAAGCAAGAAGAAAATATGCATAAGTGCAAGACACCTCCTTCTGGTAACTGGTCACAGTGCCATAGTTGATAGATATATATTTGTTAGTTGAGTAAATGTATGTATGCAAAATATATATATTTTACTAATGGGTAAATGTGTGCGTGCGTGTATGTATTCGTAATTCTCTTATATATAATTGCCCGTTGCCGGGACATCAGCTAGTTGGGGTTCTTTATGCGGTGTAGCGATCTGAGTAATTCCTGGAGGGTCCGAATCCTCCGTGGTCCGGCACAGTTTGGGGTGCCCAAGCTTTTCGCTAACTTTACTCTTGTCTATGGAAGTACGAAGAGGGGTTCCGAAGGATCCTTGGGTTCTAGACATGGCCGTCTCCATCCTCATGGTGCCACTGCATCCCCATTTTCCTTTGGTGACTGGACCAGTCAGGCAGCCGGTACCATAACTTTCTTTGCCTGCTGGTTTAGTGGCTCGAGAAATCCAAAGTGGCCAGTTGGAAATTTCAACTTCCCATTCAATGAAGACTCTATTCCCTTCCTTTGAGAACTAAGACCTCCAAACTAGCGAGTCCCAACCACTGTAAGGGACAAGCAGCAAAAGTTTTGTGAGTGAGCACAGTAGGCGGAATAAATGGCCAAGGATATCAGATCCTAATCTCTGGAATCTGTAAATGTTACCTTATAAGGAAAAAGGATCTTTGCAGCTGGGATTAAGTTAATGATCTTGACGTGGAGAGATAATCCCAGATTATCCGGTGGGCCCTAAATCCAATTGTAAATATCCTTTTAAGAGAGAGAGAGAGGCAGAGGGAAGTCTGACACACACAGAGGAGGAGGAGGCAGTATGGAGACAGAAGCAGAGATTGGAGGAGCGTGGCCACAGCAAAGGTAGGCCCACAGCCACTGGAAGCTGGAAAAGTCAAGGAAGGATTCTCTCCCGGCGCTCTGGAGGGAGCACAGCCTTGCTGACACCTTGATTTAGGCCCAGTGAAGCTGATGGGTGAATTTCTGGCCTCTGGAACTGTGAGGCATTAAATTCTGTTGTTTGAAGTCACCCAGTTTATAGTAATTTGTTATGGTCACTACAAGAAACTACTACCGTGGGTTATTTGGTGTGATAGTGAGAGAAGCTACTCTCACTACCTCCCATTGATTCCCAGAACTGCACATTTGGCTGTGTCAATGAGGACAAATCACTGTGCCCTCTATGATGGGAAGGACCCGGGGAATGAACCTGGCACCAGGTGGCTAGATGTATCCCTGCAGAATGGTGATATATTGGGTATTCATGTCCCTGCTGATGGTAGATTGGACATACAGTAGTGGCAATAACAGGGTCAGCTTTGGTGGGATAAATCCATACTGCTGAACCTGTAAAGAGGCTCCATCCTTGTCACCATGACCACGTTGTGCAAGAGCATGTCAAGCAAACACCGGAGGAGTTGCGGAAGGAGGCCAACTGGCATCCATGGGATGTGCCATCTGAGGCATCTGATTATCAAGAGCCTCCCCTGCCATGGATGCACTTTTTTTTAAAAGATGTCGGCTTTTTTTAAAATTTTTATTTATTTATGATAGTCACAGAGAGAGAGGCAGAGACATAGGCAGAGACATAGGCAGAGGGAGAAGCAGGCTCCATGCACCAGGAGCCCGATGTGGGATTCGATCCCGGGTCTCCAGGATCACGCCCCGGGCCAAAGGCAGGCGCCAAACCGCTGCGCCACCCAGGGATCCCTGCCATGGATGCACTTTGGTGAGATTTCACTTGGGACGGAAATATCTTTATACTCTGTGGCCATTTCTGAAAGTCCATCTAAACACCTCATCTGGGGCAGCCCAGGTGGCTCAATGGTTTAGCACCGGCCTTCGGCCCAGGGTGTGGTCCTGGAGTCCCAGGATCGAGTCCCATGTCGGGCTCCCTGCATGGAGCCTGCTTCTTCCTCTGCCTGTGTCTCTGCCTCTCTCTCTCTCTCTGGTGTGTCTCTCATGAGTAAATAAATAAAATCTTTATAAATAAATAAATAAATAAATAAATAAATAAATAAATAAATAAATAATAAATAAATGTCTCATCCGAAGTCCTCCAATTCTCTGCTTTCTAAGTTGCTGACCAAGGGGCCCAACCATTAGCCACTGCCCAGAAACCAGTGTTGTACAGAAACCAGTACCAAAGGTACCGAAGGGTGAGTAGGATTTAGCCAGGCTTGGGAATTGGGTGGTTGGTGAATGTTCCAGCTAGAGAGTATATAGCATGTGTAAGGGGCCAGGGGCACCAGAGAGTGGGGGACGCAGGAAAAGAAAGAAGTCCCTGCAGCTGGGTCCAGAGAGCAAAGGAGAAAGTGGTGCAAAACGGAGCTTAGGAATTAGAGGTCAAGGTCTACAGATTTAGGAGTCCATAAATCATCCCAAGGAGATAGGACTTAACCGTGAGGGCATCTGGGAACCAGCTAAAGATTTTGACCAGGGGTTAAACCAGGACAGATTTCCATTTTAGAAAGTTTTCTTCCTCGGATGGAAGATGGATTGGAGGGAGCAAGGCTGGGTGCTCCCAGCTTGGAGACCGCTGCAGCAATCCGAGCAGGCAATGTTGTTAACCTAGACAAGTCCCGCAGCATTTCACTAATTGAACAAATGTCTGTGGAGCACCTGCTGTATGTCAGGTCCTGGCTCAGCACAACGCACGGGCTGAACAGACGCAGGAGGCCCAGCTCTGCCCCTGAGGTCATCCAGCCCCTGGTGGAAACAGATGCGCAATTACCCAATGCACACGCCGCTCTTTATCTTTCTAAGTTTGTCTGGCTCAGCAAGGAGGGTCCGCAGGTGGCTGTGGGAGTCCCCAGACAGTCGTCAAATATGGCCTTGAGAGCAGATATGATTTTAGCTCGGTGTGTCATTTGTCTATTGCTGTGTAACAACTCCCCTTACGCCTTAATAGCTTAAAACAACAACTGTTTTATTCGCTCTTGTTTCTGTGGGTCAGCAATTTGAGCTGGACTCAGCTGAGTGGGTCTGCTGGTCTCTCCTGGGACCACTGATGTGGTTGCCTCTTGACTGGGCCTGGATGGTCCAGGAGGACCTCACTCACGGGCCGTCAGCACCCTGGTTGCTCCATGGACAGGATGGCTTGTCTTTGCTCCATGTGGTTTACCAGCCTCCGGTTGGCTGGGCTTCTTTACGTGAAGAGGGCGCAGAAACAGAGGCAGAGGGCCCCTTAAAGCCTCTGACTCAGAAGCTGTCCCGAGCAGCCCAGGACTGCAGTGTCCCAGGGCCTCTGCTCACGTGGGGTGTGCTCTCAATCTATTGCAATTTTTACACTCTTGCAGATCAAAAAACCCCATGCTACATATTTCCCAATTTATTTATTTTTTAAAAGATTATTTATTTATTTATTCAGAGAGAGAGGGGCAGAGACACAGGCAGAGGGAGAAATCGGCTCCATGTAGGGAGCCCGACACGGGACTCGATCCCAGGTCTCCAGGATCACACCCCAGGCTGCAGGCAGCGCTAAACCGCTGTGCCACCAGGGCTGCCCATATTTCCCAATTTATTTTGACTTATTTTGATGTACTTTGAACAGTTCCAGTTGCTGGAACC